CAACCCTCTTTTTTCAGAAATCTAAACTCCACCTCCCTATTAAAACAGAACTGGTAGGTAAGGACTCAAAGTCCAAAAGGGAAAATTCTCCTAGGGTGAGGAAAGTCTAAGGGTTAGGATTAAAATGTAGAGGGTAATACCCCCCCCCCCCCTTTTAAGGAAAAAAAACCATTTTTAATAACTTTTCAAATCCAAAGATTATCCAAATGAAATTCCTTTTTCTTTATATTAGAAGTACATAAAATAAATAAAGGGAGAGTATAAACTCCTAACATGCAAATATAATTCATAGAAAAATACAGATGTTACAATAACCACTGATGGTTATATGTCATTGACTGCCCATTTCATTGACAATTCTTGGAACTTGCAAAAAATGATTCTAAATTTTAGTTTTTTGGCTCCACCACATACTGTCTTGCTTTGAGTGATCACGTGTTTAGTCTTTTGAAGGATTGGGGGATTCAAAAGAAAGTGTTTTCAATTACTCTAGATAACGCTTCTTCTAATGATGCAATGGTTGATTTTTTGAAAACTGAAATTGATTTGGTTTGTGAAGGTGAATACTTTCATGTTAGGTGTTGTGCACACATTATGAATCTAATTGTACAGGATGGATTGAAAGAGGTTGATGATGCTATTATAAAGGTTAGAAATACTGTGAAGTACTATAAAGGTTCACAATCTAGGAGGCAAAGGTTTTTAAGTAGTGTTGCACATGTAGAGCTACAATCTTCAAGGGGTTTAAGACAAGATGTTCCCACTCGATGGAACTCGACTTACATTATGTTGGATTCAGTTTTGTACTATAAAAAAACTTTTATTCATTTGGCAAAAACTGATGCTAATTATTTGCATCGTCCAACAAGTGATGAGTGGGGAAGAATTGAAAGGACTTTCAAGTTCTTGAAGGTTTTCTACGAGGTAACTTGTGCATTTTTGGGCTCTAAATATACTACTACCAATCTTTATTTTGCTAATGTTTTGACGGTTAGAGTGTTGTTACACAAAGAAAAAGATAGTGATGATACTTTCATGAAAAACATGGCTAGTCGGATGTATGAGAAGTTTGAGAAATACTGGGCTGATTTTAGCACAGTTATGTCATTTGCGGTTGTTTTGGATCCTCGTTATAAATTTCATATTGTTGAATGGGGTTATGAAAAAGTTTATGGGCACGAGTACAAATCTGAGTTGGCAATAATAAAAAAGAAATTGTTTTCATTATTTAATTAGTATGTGGATGAGTCACATTTGAATAAAACCAAAGTTGGTCAACTTAAGAGTGGATCGTTGGACTCCCAAGAAGGATCTCAAGATGTGCTAGATATGGCTTCTGCTTCACTTATGATGGTATATATTTACTATTTTTTTTTCTTTTATACTTTTTTTGATTTATGCTATTTATCTAATATCTTTTTGTTATTTAACAGGACTTTTCAAATAAGGTGACTTCTCAAGCCATAAAATCTGAACTTGAATGTTATTTAGAGGAGAAGCTCATGCCTCGTGTGAACAATCTATACATTTTGGACTATTGGAGAACTTATGAGGTTAGGTATCCAACTCTTGCTTGGATAGCTAGGGACATTTAGCTATCCCTATCTCAACAGTGGCATCTGAATTTGCTTTTAGCATTGGCGGTAGGGTCCTTGATGCTTATAGAAGTTCATTGAAGTCTTCTACAGTTGAGGGTATTATTTGTCTAAGAAATTGGGTATATGGAGAAGGTTTGTTCTAATTTATTATTTGTATATTTCTTCTTATCGTATAAAACCATGTATTTGCTATAAAGCTATAACTAAGTTAATAATTTAATTTATTTACGTAGTACAAATGGAAGGGCATCTTGAGGCGCTATGTGGAGCAATCATGACAGAGAAGATAGAAGATCAAGAAGAAAGTAATACCGAGAGCGAAATTGGGGTTGATGAAAGTGGAAGTCGAGTTACTTAGAATTTAAAAAAATTTCAACTTATTTTAAACAATATATTTGTTGTGATTGTGTTTTTATTAAGACTTTGAACAATTTGGTTGTATTTGTGGTTGTGTTATGTTTTATTCAAAAAAGTTAAATACTCTAGTTCTTTTTTTAATTTAAAATTTTAAAATTAAATGGGTCAACCTGGGTTCAAACCATTTATTTAACAGGTTGGGTTAAGAAAATCATAAACAGGTCAACCTGTTTAATAAATGGGTTGAACCCAATCCCAACCCAACCAGACCCATTGTCACCCCTAATACCAACCAACCATGTCAAAAGAACTTTTTAACATGAGACATTCCTCTGCAAAAAATGTCATAGAAAGAGGTTTTGGCATTTTAAAGTCAAGATGGGGAATTTTAAAAAATAACTCGTACTATCACGCTGAACTGAAAAACAAGATCATAATGACATGTTGTCTACTTCATAATCATATCAGGCAAGAAATGCCAAATGATCCGTTTGAGAATGATGGGTTAGACAAAACAACCGCAGATGATGGAGAACAAGACGTGGATAATGTCAGTTCTGTTTGGACATCAACTGAGTGGACTGCATTTAGAAATAATTTGGCACAACATATGTTTGAGCCTTGGAATGCTACGCATTGACCTTTTATGACTTGTAATGCTAGAAGTTTATCTTTTATAGTTTGTAATGAATTTGATTTAATAAGGCTACGACTTGATTTTATGATTTGCATGTTTATTTTACATGTTATTTGTTGATTATTTAATTTGTTTAACAATAGGTATGACGGATCGAAGTCGTAATAGATACCATTGAAATTGGACAACTATTGAAGATGCCAAGCTTGTGGAGGCTTTGGTTAACATGTTTATACCGGAGGATTTAAAGCTGATAAAGGCTTTAAATGTGGATATTTACAGTATCTCGAAAAGATATTAAAAGAATTAATTCCTGATTCTGGTATATTGGGTAAACCGCATATTGAGTTAAGAATTAAAACAATGAAAAAGGATTGGCAAGTGGTCCATGACATGATGAATGGGACAAATACGAGTGGGTTTGGTTATGATTGTTTGAAACAATGTGTAATTGCCGAAGCACTAGTTTGGGAGTCTTACCTAAAGGTACCCATTATATATTTCATGCTATATTTGTAGTTATTATTTTGATATCTTTGCTAATTAACTTTTATGACATGAAATAGGTACATAAGGAGACAACAAAATGGAAAAACAAGATATTTCCACATTTTGAAGATCTGTCTACTGTTTTTGAAAAAGATAGAGCTCAAGGAAGTAGAATCAGGGATGTTGTTGAGATGGAGAAGCAAGTGAATCTAGAAGAACAAGAACAACAATCAGAGGACACTGAAAGTAGCCATAATGTACATAATGCTACAAATATGTGAAGTGAAGAACGTTCAATTCGAGGTAGTAAGAAGAGGAAAACCCGAGTTGGGACTCTTGTTGACGGAATACATAGTGCAGCTCTCTTACTTGGGGGAAATTTTGAAAATGCATCAAAGAATATGGTAGATATGGAAATGGATATACGAAACAAGACTTCCATGGTGAATTCTGAACTTGCAAAAATGCAATCATTTTCTAGAGTGGAGAGGTTCATAGCAATCAAGAAGATAACAAGCGAGCCTGATAACGTGTTAATTTTTTTGGAGTTTGGAAGAAAGAGAGCGAGAGGACTGGGTGAGGTTTGTGTTGGAAGGTTGATTTTGGTTATGATTTGACAACTTTGGGTTTTGGAAGTAAGGTATGTAATTAATAGTTTCAGATGTTATCGGATCTTGGTAATTTGTAGTGAACAATTTCAGATATTAGTAATATAAGTGAACAATTTCAAATTTTATCTGATGTTAATAATGTAATTTGGTTTAATGGTAATTTTAATTTTTAATAAAATGACAAAAAAATCATAAAAGGTCATTTGTTGATATTTAATTATGATCCAAAGTTGAATTCCGTAAACCAAACAAAAAAATTCCAATTCTATTAAGAATTTCATTCCAATTCCATGCAACCAAACGCAATCACAAGGCATGGTCAAATTCTATCAGATTTCATTCCATTCCTTCAAAGTCAAATTCATTTGATGAATTCCAATTCCATCGAATTTCATTCTACGAACCAAACGCCTCCTGAACATCTCCAACATATTCTCCACGATGTAAATTTTGAGGATATTTGCTCGAACATATTTTCTTCAAAATGGAGAAAGTATGAAAGATATGATGAAAATTTTCAAATTTGGAGATTTCTCTAGAAATGATTACTTATAAGAGAGAAATGGCTTTTTATTTATTTTACCAATGAAATTGCTTGAATTAAATGTTTAAGAGAGAGAAATAATATTTTAGGAGTTGTATTGAATATTTTAATAGAGAAACTCTCCATTTTAGAGGATCCGTTGTAGGGGTTGGGTTTTGGTATAAAAAATATTCAATATGAGAAAGCGTGAGAAGAGATCTCCACCCTTAGATATATATGGGATGAGATGCAACAGATCAATCTTCGTATCAAACATGATTCATGGGTGAATTTGAGATTAAAAGTGATCAAGAGTCCAAATCCCTCATTATGTTTCTCATTTTAACTCTTTTTGACACGACGTAGATGCTCTAAAGTACCTAAAAAGTGATTTAATTAGTGGCTGTTTGACAGTTACAGAATGATTTGGTACAGAATGATTAAGAGACTCTCATGATATAGTGCAAAATGAAATATAATTATTTACAATGAAATTAGGCGCTGAATGGTTAAGGGAGGCCCAAGATACAAAATCATTAAGAGGATTTTAGAACCATTAAGAGACAGGCATTTTTTTTTGCCAAACAAGATTCATCTCTTACCGATTCAGAGATTGCCTCTTAATAGAACTATTAATACTAGAAGGGTACTCGCACAATACAACGAGATAAATCTCCATTTTATGTTTATCTGCAGTTAGTTACACGAATTTTAAAAATGAAGTTTTAATAAGTTGTACTTACGCAAAATCACTTGTAATCTTAAATTTTAAGTAATATGCATCCATAAACAATATTTCATGCATAAAAATGGTTTTTAAGAATTTATGTTAAATGCTTTATAACATAGTACAGATGATTGCAAAATTTAAAAATTAAAAGATCTTTTGTGGGCCATTTTAACCAAACAACCCTAAATTCCAATTAGTAAAATAATTTTGTTTAATAAAATATTTTATAGTCATTCTTAAGTAATATTACAATACGCTTTACATAACTTTCCATTAATTATAGCAAAAAATATTCAATTCTTAAAACACTTGGAATTTTCAAATATTGTTATTTGTGTTGACTTGTTTTGTCGTATTTTTAGGTCAAAATTTAACGTATTTAAATTCTGATATTCCTTTTTTATTAAGAAATATGAAATCATCGTAATACGTCATTAAATAAATTCTTTTGTTACGATAGATCGGTGTTGGCCCATAGTAAAAATTGATAGCATTTTGTGATTTAATCGAAAAAAGAAAAACATATGTGAATTTTAAATATAAAATAAAAATTAGTAGTAAATGAATTTTAACGATACTGATATAAGTCATATTTTTAAGCAGAAGATTAACTATATAGTAAAAGTAATCTGATTTAGAAGTTTTGAAAAGCAAATTAAAATGTGTTATTTAAACGACCGTCTTTATGAGGTCTAGAAAAGCATCCAACATGGGTAACGGAGAACTTACCTTTTGGAGTATAGTTGTCTGTAAAACGACACAAATTTAAGGGTTAAGGGTTATTTTTTTAAGTTTTTAAATATGATTAAAATGATGCTTGTATAATATAGAGAGATATATCTTAATTTTAATGTTTGGTTTTGTTATTTATTCATGTAGATATAATACGGTTTTTAGTGGTTTTGAAAAAAAATTTGGAAAAAAAAAATATATTGGTATTAGTATCAAATTTACTATTTAAAGTTATGGCTTTTGTATAATTTCTTTAATTCAATATTTTATTTATAATTTAATAACCAAGTAATTTATATAGTTTAATAATATAATTTTTATAAAAATAATAATTAAGTGTTTTGTTAAAACTAACGATTATCCTAATTATATTTTAAATTTTTTATATTTAAAATGAGATGTATATCACGTATTTGATTGTATTTATCTATAGTTAGTTAAACAAATTCAAAATAAAGCTTTAATAAGTTGTATTTAATATTTATGCATAATTTACTTGTGATCTTGAATTTTAAATAATATACATCGATAAATAGTATTTTATGCATAAAAAACAATTTTTAAGAGTTTACGTCAAATACTTTATAATATAGTATAAATTAGGTAAACAAACAAGTCTATCTTAATTTGTTTAAATATTTTAATATTTTGTGTAGAAAATTTTCATCTACTTTGAGCAATGGCGAATGAATTGAAGGAGCTTATATGAAGTCGAGCAAGGACTTGAAATGGAGGTGTTTACAACTGGGCTACCGACCTAACCCCAGATTTTTTGTTTCCAACCGCCGTAAAGGAAGATCTATTTTTCTTCAATGGCGGAGAAACTCGATGAAACCCAAAGAAAACCAGTAATTCCTGCATATGTAAAAGCTTTATCTGGTTCACTCGGTGGAATTGTGGAAGCGTCATGTCTCCAACCCATCGATGTCATCAAGACCCGCTTACAACTCGATCGAACTGCTTCATACAAGGGTATTCTCCACTGCGGCACTACCACTGTCAAAAATGAAGGCGTGCGTGCTCTTTGGAAGGGTTTGACACCCTTTGCCACCCACTTGACCTTGAAATACGCCCTACGGATGGGCTCCAATGCCGTCTTTCAATCGGCGTTGAAGGATGCTAACACCGGAAAGATTAGCGATGGAGGGAGGTTTGTTTCTGGGTTTGGTGCTGGTGTCATTGAAGCTCTTGTTATTGTTACCCCATTTGAGGTGAGGTTAGTCGACGCAAAAATGCAAGACTTGTTTTTAAACTGTTATTGGATGTTTAACTGTGTGCCTCAATTAGTATAAGTTATCACTTTATGTTATGATGCTTGTTTTTAGGCTGTCATTATTCATTACACAAATATAGGAATAGGATTTTTTATCTGAATAATCTTGTTTTGATTAAAACTCCACAACCATAGCATTCTATGACAATGTACCCTCACCATAATCTATGACAATGAAGCCAGGCAACACAATGACAACTATGAATGTTTTTTTGGGGAGGGGGAATTTTAGCTGCTTCAAAGTTGCTTCAGTTACTATCTGGTGGATAACTTCAGCTATCTCATTTGCTGGTTATACTATTTGCATTCTATTATGTGCCTTTAACCTTCCTAAGATGTGTTCATGAGTTTGCTGAGTTGGGCTTTTCTTATTTGTTAGCCGTATATGGAGGGTGGTAGTGATCGAAGTTATTCTTTCTGTCACCACTGGTTGCATTTATCGAACTTGGGATGGTTGCATGAGTTCGTGGTTGGGGTATTCCTTATTCATACTAGATAGATTGGTATTCTTATATAGTACTAGAATTTAGCAGCAATTAGGATGTGGGTTGCGGTCTCCATTGAGTAGGGAAAGTTGTGTTTCTGCAGTCTCCATTTAGAACACCTTCTTTTATTAGAGATTACTCATTCTGGTTAACGAGTATTCACATTGTTTTTCCAACGGTATCCACATGAAGATGCGAATCAACTTATTTCACACGTACTACAACAGCAGGAGGGATGGTCAGTGTGCATTAAGTTGAGCGCCTTCACTCAAAGTTGAAAGCAAGATGTATAGCACTTACTAAACTATGTTCTCTGAGAACCCATCAATTTTTAAGATTGCCTTTGTTCAGTAGCATAAAAGTGACAAGTACTGGTCTTATCTTCATATTCTCCACATGAACTCCAAATTTAATCCCATACTATAGCCACTGTAGAACAACCTCTATTTCCAACTACCACTCATACATCTTTTATTTTCCGTTTATAAATGTTCTTTTTCTTTTATGCTGTGTGTAGAACTTGTGCAAACTGTTCATGGGTCTGAAGGTAGTAAACATATCATGTAAAACAGAGCAGGTGTAGTTATCCTAGGGGCTGTTTGTTTGTTTTTTTCTTCACATTGGGACATGTCTGTCGCACGTGCTTTCTAACACGTTGTTTTAAATGACATCTCCGATCAGTGCAGTGAGATCTGTTTAATCATCTATCTCTTGACTTGAAATGACGTCTATTTGATAAATGATCAATTGTTATCATGTGAGTGGGATCTCCTCTATATGTGGTGATGGACAAAGTTGACCAATGAATCCAATTCACTGACAAGATTTTAATTGCCACAGGCTCCACGGCGAAACCTGAACCATCAAAAATTCCACTTCCCACATGTTATTTCTCTTTGTTCTATATTTCATCTCAACATATGAACAACTATTAAAATACAGATCCTGGTCAAACCAGAAAGTCAAAAATCCACTTAGGGGCCATTTACCAAACATTGCTAGGGCCGAGAATCTTACCCTGTAAGCACCCTTCGTCATACAAAAAGTTGGTCAGTATTTAGATGTATGGATGTCGGTTTTGAGCTAAAGCAAGGAGTTCTCAACCAACACGTTAATAAAGAGCCTTAGTAATCAATGCAACTTATAAACACACATTTATTATCGTGATTCTGTGGAAGCTGGAAATCTTGGGATCTAAAATTAGAAGTAAGATTATGGTCAAGGAAGCTAGACCACTCAATTACCTACTTTCAATTCAAAGTCTACTGATCGGTTTTGAATTATGAAATAATTACAGTTGAAATAGTGTCTATTTATTGAGCATATAAAGTACACTGTTGTCCTAAGAAAGGAAATTGCAGCCCTGAATATAATGGATAACTCATTACCGATCACTTAGACCAATGCCAACTATATCTGATAGTCCACAAGTTGGAGCGTATATGTCAAACATGCCGAACTTGTTGCATACCAACTTGATCTAGGATATCTAAAATGGCTTGGTAAAGATGTCTGCAAGTTGATGTGCAATGCTAATCTGCAGACAAGTTGAATGAGATGTAGTCTCAAAATCATGGTCACCAATGAGATGACAATCTACTTCGATGTGTTTGGTTCTTTCATGTAGAACTAGATTCCCCTCATAAGAATTCAGCCAAATGATTGATTAGATAAGTGAACTGTCACTCTAACTGTCATAAGCATTCTGTTACAAAATGGATAAGTTGAATCCATGAAGTTTTACATACCAAATCAGGCTCTATATATAGAATTAGCTTGTAATGTGTCATCTCATGCTATAGGATATGTTAAAAAATATTTATTTGTTTGGGAGAACTAGGAAACTGGTCGAAATTCTTATAAAAACTGATTATATATAGCTTTTACCAAGAACCAAATTGCTTTATACATAATAAATGTCACCTGATTCTTTTTCCATGGGCAGATTATAAAATTTCTGGAGCCCTTGGTTGGCTTCGTGTTTTCATTCATATGGTATGTGTTCTCATTTACGTTAGGAGATTATTGTGTTTTCTTTCAAGCCCTTTGAGGCTGGGCAGTTAATTGCACGCTATACTGGTGCTCGATTCCTTCTCAGCTATTCGATTGTGCATCTTCGATTCCTTCTACTGCTCATCTTGATATTTATTAGGCGTACAATATATTAAGTTATATATATACACAGATTCATATTTATTTTATGAACCTAGTTTTTTTTTACCACTATACCAACGTGAACCACGAGTTCAAATCATGGTTCTCACTGCAATTTCCACAATCGACAGCGTTAACAGTTAACTGCATAGCTTTGTGGACAGATACGGTAAATAAGAACATCAGGTTTGATTATCTGCCCACTTTATCTACAAAATGCTTACTCAAGCAGATGTATGCTGGCAGCAAACTAGTATGAATGATAAGCAAGCATCAGACAAATGTATGGTCAGAATCGCAGAACTGGGCATTCTTATTAACAATCGGTGAAGTAGTGGGCATTCAAGTTATGGAACAAAATAGTAATGTTCCATTCGCTTCTTTTTTTATATAATGGGGGCAGTTTTTAGCTTTTCCGCCCGGGGCATCAAAACACCCGGGCCCGGCCTGTAGAATTAGGAGAGAGAGCTGTGTGAGCAAGGTGATCCTGGATTAGATAACAGGTGCAATAACAAGGAGATTTGGTAGGAAAGAAATAGGATTGTTTCATTGAAAGTAATTTCAACCAATTTAGATGACAAGTATATGCACTAAAACAATAATTCCATTTGAATTCTTAAGTAACCTAGAAAAACAGTCACAAATTAAGGATTCAGTTTAGTGAGAGGGGAGGAGATTATGGACAAAGTGAAAACATAGGTACAAAAAGCAACAGAGTTCTCGGGAATATAATAGAAAAAGATGTATTGTGCATTTAAGACGGAAAAAAACATGCATTTGCTAGCAAATTATCCGCTAACAACGCCTCTACTTGAAAACAAGAGGGATTAGCGATGAATCAAGAATATGCATGCAGCATGAAAAATCAATTTGAGTTCAAAAAGATATAAGAATCTTAAAATACAATATTTCTGTTTTACGTTTGGTAAATAAATCCATATTAAATGCGAAAAGTCATCGAAGAGAGTGATAAAATAACAAAATTTCATATAGTAAAATGTTCCTTTACACTATTATGAGCTAAAGACAACAAAGAACGAGTAGCATACACACAAAGGGATAAGGAATAAAGGTTTGTTTACTTGATTGTCAGGACCATAAATTAACTTAGAAGAATCATTGAAGTTTTGCCCAAGTTCTTGAGAGCAGTTAGAGAAGGATGCCATGTTGGCACTGTACATCCTTGATACTCATTTTGGAAGAAATTGCCACCCAAATCCTGTGCCAATCTACCATTCCCCAGTTTCTTGAAAAGCACAATGAGTCATGCTGAACTGTTAATGTGAAGGGCTCCAATTTCCTGGCTAACAAATGTATGATAAATGTGGGACAGATACATTACACAAGGTAAAGGCAAATGCTTCAGTAGAATCGATGCCATTGATAGGAAGTGTAGAACCATTAAATAGGTGGTAGATGACTCGATTACTAGTTGTGGAAAGCCCTATAATATAATCTACTTAAATGGACTCCGTGAAAATCTCTATCTCATTATTAAATGAGATTGGAGGATAATGTACTTCTATATAGTAAAGAAGTCCAGGAAACATTAATTTTATTTGAAATCCATTAAGAGTATACATTTCCAACCTTCTCGCTTGTATATGCTGATGAACATTGTCTCGATAAGGATTTTTTTTCTAGCTTACGAGGATTTAATAGGCATCTCTAGCAATTTATCCTACGGTACAAAACAACAAAACAATTGTTGCCACTTGCCAGCATGGAAATGTTTTATAGTGGAAGCAAAGAGCACATGTTTTCTTTTTTGGTTTTATAACATTAAGGTAACTCAATCACAATGTTAAAAATGTGTGTGCAAAATGATTTAAAAACATGAGTTAGAGGGTATAGAAGATTAACTGTTTTGTGGAAATCAAAATATTTGAATTACTGGTAAGGAATGCGTCAAGTACTACATGTGCATGTAGGGAGGGGGAGTGAAAGGAACCCATGATTGAGATTTTGTGTATACTAATTTGATATGGTCAACTGTCAATACATATTTGTCAAATAGATTGGGGTCAAAAATTTTAATCGTGTAAACGCATGTTGTTTGTGCACAGATGGAAATGGGGTTGGACTCATGCCCAGAAGAATTGAGCCAAAAATCTGAGTCCATTTTATGTTAATATATCCACCATCACCACCACCACCACCACCCACACCCCCTCCCCTTCCCCCTCCCCCTCAGGCTGTACTCTCTGTTTCCACATCTAGGATGTTTTTCTGCTTGCCAATAACTCTTTGTTGCTTCGTATCCTAGATTAGTTCATGGTGGAGGCTATTACATATTTGGAGGGTTATGAAGTAATTCTTTAGGACAGTCTTCGTAAATATGTAGTAAACTAGTGTTTTATGACAAATTCTGGGATAATGATGAATACTCTTGCCACCTGTTCCTTTCCGCCTATTTAGATGCCAAGTTTGACCTTAATCATCCCGTTGATGGTACACCTTCTTTCATGGGGTTCATGCCTCCAATCAACTTTTGCCAGCCTTTCTCGGATTTCACTAAAATTGAGATATTTTAAGGGTAGAATTTTAAAAGCTGACGAAAGTATTTCCTTATTTATTGTCTATTGACATGCATGGTGTGGCCATAATCTCATGGACCTTAAAAACATGTCTAGACCCAAAAATAGAGCACATGGACCATGCTAAATAAGGTGTGCAGACTTTACAACCAGCAACCATGTGTTGAAACAAATTGCTCGTAGATGGGAGCCAATTCTTTTTGGAATAAAACAATTCTGGAATGCATGGAAGATTACTTTTTGTTGATAACTGTTACAGGGGAGGTGACAGAAGATAGAGAGAAAATACAAAAGGTGGGAAGAGAAATTTGTTGTAGGATTGTTTATGAGAAGCTGCCATAGTCATGGAGGGATTGCAATCAACTCAAGCACAAACACGAGCACAAATTTGCAATGAAAACACTGAAGATAAGTCTCACTAGTAGAACTATGGTGATATATATCTACAAATCTATGATAAAAAATATGATTAAAATCTTTAGGGTCAATAACCTTAAATTCAAAATTAGAGAAACTTGTTATGATTGTTCAAAGCCATCATTCACTGGTATTCAGAAGGAGAGCTAGAAATGATAATCCAAGAGAAATTTTTTAGGTCAATGAGGTAGCATAATTGCTAGTTGCTACAATCATTGCTCATGCATATCTTATGGCTAATATGAAGCAGTCGGTGGTAGTCTCTGATGCCAGAACATATTTGTGCTATGCATGGCTTTAGAAAACACCAGAGGCATGCCTCGAGCCTCAGGCAGTTTGGTCTAAAATTGAGTTTGAGCTTTTCAAAATGACTGCATTTCATGATCTTATGACTAGAACTAATTATTTTTTAAGACTTTTAACAAGTACTTTTTTTGAATCACGAGCTTTATAGTTTGGTTATGACTAGAAGTAATTAGCTTAGCTGATGTTTAAGACTTATAACTAGTAGTTTTATTGAATTATGAGCTTTAGTTTTATTGAATTATGAGCTTTAGAGTTTGGTAATTTGGTATGAAGTTTATATTTTTTTATAAGTGTGATGAATTTATGAATTTTGTTGCTTTATTTTTTGGGGTTTATGCCTCGACCGCCTCGAGGCTTACGCCTCACATACCTAAGGGGAAACACCTAGATGCTCGTTTCTGTTCTTTAAAACCTTACTTCTATGCGTACCAAACCAAACCAAACAAACAAACAAACTCCATGAGTCCCACAGAGAGTAGGGTTTGTGGAGGGTAAGAACATGTGTTATGCATATTTGTTGCAAACAAAGATGTCTTTACCTCTTACATTGTTGTTGGACATAAATAAAAACATGTGTATCAGCATGATTCTCATGCTGCCAATGCTATCGGTAGAGGGAAAGTTCTTATGGAATTCACTATAACATTAGACAAATTTTCTTTTTGGAGTCTATTAGGAATAGTTGTTAAGGTGCGATGAAATTGTAACGACAAAGAATAACTGGTATTGTGTTACGCCCTCTGTCCCAAAAGAAGTGTCTACATTACTATTATAGTTTGTCCCAAAATAAGTGTTCACTTTCAAAAGTAAATGTCTACTTTCCCATTCTACCCTTAATTATGAGATGGAGAAAAATTTCTCTTTGTATACTTGAGGTAAAATTGTCTTTTTATTTATTAAATATTGTAATAATTACACATTTTTAGTACTGTATGCCTTTTTCATTGTAGACATTTATTTTGGGTCAGAGAGAGTATTAAAACAAAAGTGCTTCCTTTTCCCCTCTGTTGATTGAGAAGCTTTTTATGTCTCTCCTCATGACGAGAGACTTGAATGAAGCAGCCTTGCTGATTACTTGATTGACTTTATTGATATCTCACATCCTAGTTACTCTATTGATATTTCAGCCATCCCACAAATATTTTGTGGTCAGTACTCCCTACATGTATTCCCATTTATAAGCGTTTGCTTTTCTATCGAGAGGGATGTTTGTGGCCTGTCTTCTGGGACCTTGGTTTTTTAGTTTTATGTAGGGTAACCTGATTGGGATGTCCCTTTTACAATGACAAGAAGCTCGAAACTTCCTCTTAATCATCAAATTATCTCTGGAGGTAGAGGGCAGGGGATAGAGTTGGTGAGGGGTTATCATCTTAAATGGCCACCTCATGAACCAGGTTTTATATTATAGCCACCATTTTGTTTTTTTCTCACAAAATAGCCAAGAAATCGCAAGTCAGCGCTGCAAGGTGGGGCTTTGCCTTGCTTTTTGTGTGTCGACACATGTCCTTGCGGTGCCACAAGTTGTGGTGTCTCAGTTTATTTTTGTGGTGGACTTACTTTTCATCTGGATGCATCAGAAACCGCAAGGAAAAGTGTCTTGCAGTGTTGACTTGTGGTTTCTTGGCTATTTTGTGAGAAAAAGTTCGAAGGTGTCTTCCTCATGTGGTTATTTACGATGATACCCCAGTTAGTGAGTTGGTTGTTAGGTTACCAAAACCCTAAGTTGGATTACTATTGCTTACACATGTCTAGTTTCTCAAAATTTTGCATCTCTCTCTATTTGTATTTTTAGTGCTTGCTCATATCTTAGCATATTTGTATTTTTCCCTTTCACACTTTTTAGTAGACAGGGGTCTTCACGGAAACAACCGTTTTTTTTTATTAACTTGGATATTTAACTTGCTATGCGAGCCGACTAATTCCAGTACCACCTGCTTTGCGGGTAGCCCGGAGTCCCCGCATTTGAATCTCCGTGGTCACAAGGGGATTTTTATTTCTCCTTGGATTTGAACCTGAGATCTCCAGGCATTTTTGACCTTTGCAGCCCAAACACAAACCAATCAGGCACCACCCTTGTGGTTAGGAAACAACCGTTTTACTTTCTAGGGGTAAAGGTTAGGTCTGCCTTGCATCTTACCCCCATACCGCACCTCACTTAGCTCATTTGGTTTGGATTAAAAATTGAATGTTTGATCTTGCCTTGAGTAATGATAATTTTGAAGTGGATTTAGTTGAAGATATCAAACGCAAGTTCACTTAAGTCGTGTATGAATAAAGTTGTATGTTTGTATTAATGTGTATTAATATGTCTGTATAGTTTGAGAAGGTTTTGTTTGGGAGGGTTTTCCGTAGATGGAAGGAGCCTTTTTTTTTTTATTGGGAGGGGCAGGTATGGAAAAAAATTGGCTTTCTACATACAACTCCCCCTTCTAGAAACTTACTGAATAAACCACTTTCAATATCATTAAGCCACTGCCAAACAGTCGACGAATAAGCTGTGAACCCCATTAAGCTACTGACAGAGGCTCTTAATGCAGGTGGTAAAAATAAGACTGCAGCAACAAAAGGGACTGAGCCATGAGCTACTAAAGTACAAGGGTCCCATCCATTGTGCTGGTTTGATCATCCGCGAAGAAGGCTTACTTGGGCTATGGGCAGGGGCGGCCCCAACTGTTATGCGTAACGGCACAAACCAAGCAGTCATGTTCACAGCCAAGAACACTTTTGATGGCCTATTATGGAGGAAACACGAAGGTGATGGAAAAGTTCTCCAACCATGGCAGTCTATGATTTCTGGATTCCTAGCCGGAACCGCTGGTCCAGTCTGTACGGGTCCTTTTGATGTTGTGAAAACGAGGTTAATGGCGCAAAGTCGGAGTGGTAAGTATTATAAAGGTATGTTTCATGCAATCTCGACAATATATGCAGAAGAAGGGGTACTTGCATTGTGGAAAGGTCTGCTTCCACGTTTAATGCGTATCCCACCTGGGCAGGCTATTATGTGGGGCGTAGCGGACCAATTGATCGGGTTTTATGAGAAGAAATACATTCACAATATACCCTTCCAAGCATGATTTTGATTATCATTCTAACCGCATGATGCTTTTCAGATTATGCATCATTGCTGCAGTTTGGATGACATAGGATTTTCATCAGTTGTTAACAGTAATATGCAAATTATTATTTGGACTTGAGATGAATAATGAATGATTGGGTCTTTTCTTTTGCAATTATTTGGCAGAACGTTACAAGGCGATTAATTTTAATGGTCCAGCTTTGGCCGTCAAGTTTTTTGAGACCGATTGTCTAATGAGTCGGGTGTACGGGCTGTACTTTCCGCAAACATAAACCATTTATAAAGGGTAATGTAACCCCTCTTTAAATCTCTATCACAAGGGTACTTAAATGCAACTTGAACCATAAGGCTTTTGGTCTTGGCGATCATCGTTAAAGGTCATTGGTTCGAGTCTTCTCTGCCTGCTTTTCAGGGCATATGGGATTAATCGAGGTGTCGTAAGCTGGTTCGGACATCCATGGTTAAAAAGAACTTGGACCATTTTGGCATCTGAACCTAAGGTTGGTAGGATGTAATCTTTTTTCAAATCGTTCTCTTTGAATTTGAGGGGTTAGACTAAGGGGCCGTTTATCAAACACTTACCGGAAAGAGTCACCGTTCTAATTTACCTTATGGAGTAACATTCCTGGTCATCAAAATGAATGAATATGATTTATTTAATAAATGAAGGAATCTTTGATTTGTTTATTTGAATGAACACGAACACAAACACCGGTTTTGTTAATGTTTGGTAATCCGTTTGTTGATGTTCATTTGTTCGTTTGTTGATATTCATAATTTTGGAAATTTGTAGGTTAGAAGTTAACCTTCCATCCCACATTGGTAGAGAGTTTATTTCTAGAGAAGTTTATAAGGCATTCTCTATTAGTGGGCTTTGAACATGTTAGTGGACTCATGATGGGAGGCCCAACACACACGTGCGCGTGGCCGAGGGCGTGGGATTCGCGAAGGTGGCGCGAGGAGGCGCACTTTGCACGCCGCATTTGAGCCTCGCCCCGAGCTCCGAGTATCTTTTTGCTAGTAATTTCGTCAGGAGGATTATCAGTTTAATGTGGATAATTATTAATTTTTTAATTTGAATTAATCCGATTTTATTTTAATTTGAATTAAATTGATTTTTGACTTGGTTTAGGGATAAAATTTTCGGTTGAGAAAATTTCTCCCACTATCCCCGATTTTTGGAGATTCGTGGGCCACTCTCTTGGGCTCTATCTAGGGTTTCACCCAATATAAAAACTGGGTGAAGCCGTATCAAGAAACACACATGAAAACCTCTTTTCCTCTGACGAAATTTTGTTCCCCACTCTTATTTCTCTCTATGGTTTGCTACATAAGCCCTGTTGTCGGCGTGTCATATTCACAACCGAATCTATAGTCGTGTGATTCCAACCAGTCCATATGAACTCTGGAAAGGTAGAAAACCAAATCTGAACTATCTAAAGATTTGGGGATATATTGCATACTATAGAACTCCTGATCCAAAAAGATCTAAATTGGGAGCCCGTGCTATTAAGAGCATATTCGGTGGATATGCAGTAATAGCAAGACTTATAGATTATTGGACAAAGAATCAGGAGTTATAGTAGAATCCAAAAATGTGGAGTTCTTTGAAGATAGATTTTCAGAAGATGCTGAAAAATCAGAACCAATATTGGCCTCTAATCCCTCTTGCTCATCTCGTGCTAGTTCCAAAACCTCTATAGAGGCGGACGAACCATGAAGAAGTACAAGAGTGAGAAAAGAGAAAAATCTGGGAAATGACTTTTTCTCGTACTTGGTAGAGGGAACTCAAAATAAAATGACAAGAGAGTTCATTTTCTCTATCAGTACTGAAGAGGATCCCAAAACATTTAAAGAGGCCATAACTTCAAGGGATGCTCCAATGTGGAGAGAAGCTATAAATGATGAGATGGACTCCATTTTGGGTAATGGAACTTGGATGTTGGCAAATTTGCCAACAGGGGTGAAACTCATTGGTTCCAAGTGGATATTCAAAAGAAAGATACACCCTGATGGTACAATATCATCCTTCAAGGCTAGATTGGTGGCTAAAGGATATAGACAGAAAGAGGGTGCCGATTATTTCGACACCTATGCTCCAGTTGCTAGAATTAGTTCCATTCGAACTCTCATAGCAATTTCCGCCATAAAAGGGCTGTATATTCACCAAATGGACGTGAAAACAACTTTCTTGAATGGTTATTTAAACGAGGAGGTTTACATGGAGCAACCTGAAGGATTTGTAATACCCGGACAAGAGAATAAAGTGTGTAAACTTGTTAAATCTCTATACGGGTTAAAACATGCTCCTAAACAGTGGCATGAAAGGTTTGATACGACTATCACATCTTTCGGGTTCCGACATAATGAGGCCGACCGATGCATCTACTCAAAATGCACGAGAGGGTACACTGTGATAATCTGTCTTTATGTCGATGATATGTTGATCATCGGAACCAATCTAGATGTTATTCTTGAGACAAAAGGATACTTATCCTCTAACTTTAAGATGAAAGATCTTGGAGAAGTAGATACCATCCTTGGGATAGAAGATCAAAAGATCACCATCTCAAATCTCTCTATGTCAATCTCATTACATAGAGAAGATACTGACAAAGTTTCAACATTTGAATATAAAAGAGTTTAATACTCCGTTTGATTCAAGTGTGAAACTCAATAAAAATACTGGTAGAGCAGTGGCTCAACTAGAATATGMTAGTGCAATAGGATGCATGATGTATGCAATGCATTGCACTAGAYCGAATATTGCTTTTGCTGTGAGTAGACTGAGTCAATATACGAGCAATCCGGGTTCAGATCACTGGAAAGCAATTGGTAGAGTATTGGGCTACTTGAAAAGAACCCAAGAACTAGAGTTGACATACTCTACGCATCCAGGAATCTTGGAGAGATATTCTGACGCCAGTTGGATATATCACTCAAGTGATTCTAAATCCACAAGTGGGTGGATTTATACTCTAGCTGGAGGGGTGAATTCTTGGGCGAGCAAGAAACAAACGTGTATCGGTCATTCGACTATGGAAGACGAATTTATTGCCCTAGCGGCAGCGGGCAAAGAGGCCGAATGGATTAGAGATTTGTTGACAGATATCCATTTATGGCCTCGATCGACTCCCTCTATTCCTATGTATTGTGACAGTGAGGCCACACTGTCCAAAGTATACAATGTTGTATATAATGGGAAGTCGCGATACATAGGTCTCCGACACAACTACGTGAGACAACTAATTGATGATGGTACCATAAGTATTGTGTTTGTCAAGTCTTGTG